TTTGCTTCTAGACTTACGCCAAACTTAAACTTAACTTACGGTCTGCCTTTACACTTCTTTATGAAACGCGAAATCATGCGTAAGTTAGAAAAATGGACTTAAGTTTCTTTATGAAACAAGCCACTGGTATTATTTTCAATGCATTTTTTCGCATATTTTGTTTGAAGTGAACGTTATTTATGTCATGAAATCAAACACCAAATGTTTGGCTGAATTTGCGTTCAAAAAAAGTTTTCATTAAAAAAATTAATTTAATTTTTATAAACATTTAATTAGTTTTTGAATTAATTAACACTTTTTTCGGTAAATATTTTCTTATAATATATTTATTTAATTGAAATTCAAAACCAANTGTTTGGCTGAATTTGCGTTCAAAAAAGTTTTCATTAAAAAAATTAATTTAATTTTTATAAACATTTAATTAGTTTTTGAATTAATTAACACTTTTTTCGGTAAATATTTTCTTATAATATATTTATTTAATTGAAATTCAAAACCAAATTAAATGATATTTTTGTTTTGTTTTTAGCGTTTATTTACTTTTTGGGGACAATTGTCTCATTTAACTGATCCCAAAGTGATGTCCAGACGTGTGGCAGTCGTGACCGGAGGTAATAAAGGCATCGGTTATGCGATCGTCGAAAATCTTTGCGGACATCCCTTCGACGGCGACGTTATCCTCACCTCCAGAGACGAGTCCAGAGGTTTGGCGGCCGTCAAGAGTCTCAATGAGCGGGGATTCAAAGCACTGTACCATCAGTTGGACATCGATGACAACACATCCGTCAACGACTTGAAGAAGTATCTGTTGGACAACTATAACGGTTTGGATGTATTGGTGAACAACGCGGCCATTGCCTACAGTAACGCGTCGACCGCTCCGGTGGCCGAACAGGCCGTCAATACACTGAAGACTAACTTCTTCTCCACTCGTAATGTGTGTCAGAAGTTGTTCCCAATATTGAGATCACACGCGCGAGTGGTTAACGTCTCCTCATCTGCCGGAATGCTTAAGAATGTCAAAGGTTTGGATCAGTTGTCACACGAAATCAAAACAAACAGTTGTTATGATTTGTTGTTTTTGCAGACAAAACACTTCGCGAGCGCTTCTCTGACCCGAATCTGTCGGACAAACAATTACTGGATTTAGTGAACGAATATCTGAATGAAGTGAATGCCGGCAAACATATAGAGAAGGGTTGGCCGAACACCACATACCAGGCCTCGAAGGTGTCCCTAACGGCCCTCACTTTCATACAACAGCGGGAACTCAATGAAGACAAAACGCGTGAAGATATTGTGGTGAATGCGGTTCACCCGGGATTTGTCGACACAGACATGACTAACCATAAGGGGGTTCTCACTGTAGAGCAGGGGGCGGACGCGCCCTCCTATTTGGCACTATTGCCCCCCAATTGCGAGGAACCGATCGGTGCTATGGTTTGGTTGGATCGACGGATCGTTGACTGGACTTCCAGTTAATGGATTAGATGTACAGATGGAACCGATTGTTAACATGACAACCATATAATCAGAAGAAAGACAATTGGATTTGGATTTTACGACAATAACATAATTGTTAATCAAATTTAAAGTCAAACGAAGAGTTAATATTTTTATAAATGAATACTTTAATAATCTCTAGACAAATATGATTTAAATCTAAACATTTGAATCAAATTGTTGTATTGAATGAGTGATATATTTATCCACAATTATAAATCTCGTATACAATTAAGGCACGAAACCAATGGTTTTAAAATTTTCGGTGATCTATATTTTTAGTTATTTTACATATCATTTCACAGCAAATAATGTTTATTCGTATATTTATCTAATATTTAATTTGAACCGATATTTGAAATATACTGTATTTTTGACATTTATAATTTATAACCATATTATGTAATATTTACAGTATTATACCTAAGATTTAAAATAAATTTGATATTTTATCAGAATATATGAAAATTAATATAAC